CCCTAAACCCCCAAACCCTAAAGTCGGGTCCTGCTGCAGCCGCAGGGCCAGGGCCTCGGGGGAGTCGGGGCGCAGAAGTTGAAGCGCCGTCAGCGCCACCGGCGCCTTGGGGGGCTCGGATCTGGGCTCTTGTTAGGATTTAGGGCTTATAGGGTTGTAGGGCTTTAGGGTTTTANNGGCTTTTAGGGTTTAGGGCTGTAGGGTTTAGGGCTTTAGGGTTTTAGGGTTTTGGGTTTTAGGGTTTAGTGTTTTAGGGTTTCGGGGTTTTAGGGTTTAGGGCTTTCGGGTTTTAGGGTTTTAGGGTTTTAGGGCTTTCGGGTTCTAGGGTTTTAGGGCTTTAGGGCTTTGGGGTTTTAGGGTTGTTGTATCTTGGATGAAGTTCCTCAAAAGGAACCGTGGAGAGGGGAACTGGTTTTCTGTGGCTTTCCAGGCCTGCGGGCTCCCTGATGACGGTCTTACTTGAGGAATCTAACCAGTAGAGACGGTTAAGGGTTTAGGGTCTTGGTTGAGGAATCAAAGCAGCAGAAACGGTTTAGGATTACAGTGGTGGTAGAGGGTAGGGAATGGTTGTTGGCGTCTCAGCTGTACCTGCGAAGGGAAGTCCAACAAAGGCCTCTCTAGCCGCTGCCATGGCCCCTCGTGTGGTGCTGCCCAGTTCCTTCGCCCTCCTCCCAGCGAACCCGAACGCAATGCCGCCCCAGCTTTCCGCGAAAAGGAACCCTAGTCCCCAAGCTTAGTCTTCAAACCCCACACCCCGAACCCCATATCCCAATCCCGGAAACCCTAAACCCTAAAACCCTAGAGCCTAAACCCCTGAAGCCCTAAACCCTAAACCCTAAAAACCTTAACCCTAAACCCTAAACCCTAAACCCCTCAACTCTAAACCCCTGAAGCCCGAAGCAGCTTGGGGATGGCACCAGGAGGGCCACGTGGGTCAGAGAGCTCCAGCGATGTGCGAATCCCACCGCGGCGAGAGCAAGGCCTGGGAGGGCAAATTTTCTCCCCATGGGACCGCTGAAGTTTCGGGCTTAGGGTTTGGGGGGTTAGGGTTTGGGGCTTCGGGCTTTTTGGGTGTAGGGTTTGGGGTTTAGGACTGAGTGACGGTTTGGGGTTTCGGGTTTGGGGGTTTAGGGGTTTTTGTGAGGTTTAAGTTTGAGGTTTAGGGTTTCGGGTTTACGGTCTACCAACACCTCCCAACTACCCCTTGTTCTTGCCTACGCACCCACAATTAAGCACCCTAAAACCTCTATGAAAGGGTACTTGCGGGGCGATGATAAGGTTTAGGGCCTTGGAGTGTCGGGGGTGCTCCCTCTTCCCTAACAGTATCCCCATCCAGCCCCTCTATAAAAGCCATATAATAAACTGGAATATACTCCGCAGCCCTATTCGAGTTATGTGGGCCTCTGTATTCCACTCGCTACCACGGAATACTACTGACTGGCACCTCTGAATTCTACGGACTGGCACCGACAAGCGTCAGCCCCGTCCCTGTGCGTCTCATGCGTCTCAAGCTTCGGCACCGTAAGCCCTATAAGTCCTAGACCCTCCACCCTAAACCCAAAGGCCTACACCCTCTCCATTCAAGCTTCGGTCTTTCCCGAGGGTCGGCCGAGGCACAACAGAAGCTGAAGCTCTGCAAAGCGTTCACCTGCAACGCCACTATCAGGGCTGCGATAAGGGTAACGATAAGGGTTACTCTAAGGGATGCTACAAGGGTTGTTACAACCGTGCCGGTAAGGGTTACTATAAAGAGATTTCCAATAACTCCAATATCCCTTAAATAAGGAATATACCTGAAAACATTTTGGGGATCATACTATAAATTACGGTATATTCCTTAATCAAGGGATATTGGAGTCTCTGGGTACATCCTTTTCTATCCCCCCTGAATCTCAACCTTCCCTTCCCGCCTGGGGTTGAGCAAAGGGCCGCACGCTGCCGACGATCACAGCCATGCCTGGGTTCTTGAAACGGTTCAGGACTTGCCTGTAGGGTTTAGGGTTTAGGGTTAAGGAATGTAAACTAAGTTACCATAATAAGGAAATCAGATGATCTACTATAGATTAAGGAACGTAAACTAAGTTACCATAATAGGGGTTTAGGGTTTAGGGTTTAGGATCATATTGTTTACTTTGGATCCCCATTCTGGTAACTTAAACGAAGTTCCTTAAGAAGCCCAGATGCCGAAGGTGATGGCCACGGACAGCCAAAGGCCGTCCCTCGAAGAGACGACCTCACTCCACGGTGCACGCTTTCAGGTTTAGGGTTGAGGGCTCCCCTACACCCTAAACCTTAAGCCCTACGTCCCACGCTCTAGACCCACAAACCCTTCTGCTTTGTATGGTTTCAGGTGAGCCACGGAAACGAGGCACGCGGAGCTCAGTTTCAGAGCGACTTCCATCCACACTCCGCCGCAGTAGGCCTCAAAGCTCAAGAGCTGGAGGTGTTCGGTTCCTTGTAAGGGTTTCGTTAATGAGTTCCTTCAAGGGTTCGAGGGTTGCTACAAAGGGTCCCCATAAGGTTTGCGCTAACCTGTCGGAGCGGGCTTGTCTTCGGACCCTACCAACAACGTCGGCTAGAAGTAGATTCAGGTAGGTTTGAAGGCTCCGGCTGTTCGTGGTCTAACGGGTTTGTTGAAATTGTTAAGGGCTCAAGGTTTAGGTCTTTAAGGCTTTCGGGCTTCATGGCCTGAAATGGCTTGGAGACCTTCGGATGTTGAGACTCGGTAACGCGGCATAACGCCAAAGTCGCTAAATGCACGGGAGCGGCGTACTTGCAAAGAAGCTGCTTCGCCCCGATCAGCATTCCTTCGATGCATGACAGCTCGACAGCCCTACGGCATGCCCCTGGCATGACTCTAAACGTGGACAAGAGCTGCTACGAGTACCAGGATGCTGTCAGATTGGACCTCCTCTAAGACGCTGCGCTCCGTAAGCATCTGCATCATGTAGTTCCGTGCCAGCACGGTGTCTTTCATGTCGCTCTCCATGAAGCTCTCGGCCTGCTAGACCGAACCAAGAGAATAAACTACAATAACCGTAAACCCTAAACCCTAAACCCTAAACCCTGAACTCAGAATGGAATTGCGATGAAGCCACCGAGATGGAAGAAAAGCCGCCGCTCTTCTCTTCCTGACTGATGCCATTTTGCGTCACAATCCTGGGCTGCACAAGGGATTTCGCTGCCTCAGCAAGTACTCAGCAAGGTCCCTCCTAAAACCCGAAAACCCTAAATAAAACCCAAAACCTCTAGACAAAGCCCTGAACCGAAAACCGATAAAGTTTAAGCGTTTGTGTCTACCCAACCCTAGACCCCTAAACCTCTAAACACCCAAACCTCTAAACCCTAAACTGCCGAGCATCACCGCGTTTTGGCGGAGCTCCACCACAGCTTCTCCGGGCCTCTGCACCGCCAGGTGGGCCGCTGCAGCCCCCAGCAGTCGCCTTGCCAGGAGCTCCTCCTGCTTAGGAGTTTAGAGCTTAGGAGTGTAGGGGTTTAGGGGTTTAGGGTTTAGGGCTCAAGATTTTATAGGGTTTAGGAGTTTAGGGGTTTACGGATGTAGGAATTACGGGTTTAGGAGTTTAGGGGTTTAGGGGTTTTGGGGTTTGGGATTTAGGGATAGAGGCTGATTCAGCGGTTTACGGGATTAGGTGTTCAGGGATTTAGGGGTTTAATTATTTAGGGGTCTAGGGGTTCAGGGTGCGGGGGGTTTACGGGTTTGGGGGTTTAGGGTATAGGGGTATAGGGGTATAGGGTTGAGGGTTCGGTGATGAATTCTCACAATCAGATTGAAGCGATGCGGGCCTTTGCCCATAGTGACCCAAGTAGTGAGGGGTAGGGCAGGGTTTAGAAGCGTGCTGTTCGCATTCAGAGCAGACATGTCAGTTCGCTTCATTGATCCGCATGTCAAAACTATAAACCAGCGACGGGTGGAATGACAGGAAGTTCCTCTGCCATTAATTTGTTTCGTAACCCTAAACCAGAAACCCTAAACAACAAGATACAACAACAAGTATGCACATGAGCCCTTCTGCTGTTGGTCCTCGAAGTGCTCCGACTTTGCGCACGCAGTGAGCTCCAACTGGACGCTGCCGCTCGCCTGGTTGGCACTGACGACAAAGAAGGTCTTGCACTGCCTTTGTCAGGCTCATTGCACACTGAGAGGTCTGCGTGTGTGTCCCCCTGAACCCTAAAAAGATCTGAGCGGCCGCATGGTGCGGTGCTGCCTGAAGAAGAGGAAGGCGAGGAAACAGGGCACCGCACCGCCATAGACGGCCGCAGTGCTCCAGCCGATTCGGTCCACCTCTGACAACGAGCCCTAGATTGGCCTAGATATTGCTTGCAGCACAAACGCACAGGAGTTCGAAGTTCACGTCAAGGGCTTCCCAAACACATGTTGAATACGGGCTCGTCCCCTAAACCCCAAACCGATAAAATATTTCAAAAGCAAAACCCCCTTAAACCCTAAACCGAAAGAACCCTGATCTCTACACCCAACGAAGACAGCACTGGGCACCCCACCCAGGCCGCTGCGGCGGTCTCCTTCGAGCACCGGAGCCACGGGAAAAGCGGCCGGAAGGCCAGGTCATCCGGTATCCAGGTGCCTCGTAGGCTTTTCTGGGTTTAGGGTTTAGTGATTGAGGGCTCGGGCAACCAGAAACTCACACTAAAACCTTACACTTTAGAGACTCTCAACCCTAACTCTCTGAGACCCCCCGCAACAGCACCCTAACTACGACGCTAGATCCTAAACACCCCGCCTTCACCGTCGGTGCGCTGGCAGCCCAACAGCTTCACCGCGCCGGAGGCGCCTCCCACGAAGAGGACCGTCAAGGCCCGGAGGGCCAGCTGGATGCCTCGAAAGTATGAACAAAAAAGGCCCAGAATAGTTTAGGGTTTAGGGTTTAGGGTTTAGGGTTGCTTAAGGTATAGAGTTTGTGGTAGAGATATCATCGGGCCATGATGTTGTGGTGTAGTTTTACAAGGACTCTTCGGGGATACTTTCCTCAAACAGACCTCCATGGTTTTACTAGCACCCTTGCGGATGTTTGTTGGAGTCCTAGACCCTAAACCCTAAACCCGTAACCACACTTGGAGGATCATGGGACTTAGTGTAAGTAAGGCTATAACTACCTTAATTGAGATTATAATTACTTATAAGTATAGTTACCTTATATCCCTAAGTCCCTTGATCCTCCAAGTACACCCTAAACCCTGTGCAGACAAGGATCCCATGCCACGGTTCCGAAGCTCCAGGCAGGCGCCTGGGCTCTTGCTAAGGAGTTGAATTCAAATTGCCATCATAAACAAACCCGCTTATGTACTACATAGGTCCCTACGATGGTACCATGAAGTAAGTTTTTTAACAAGACCACAGGCGCATGCAACCAGGACCAGCAAGGGAAGGAGGGGCGTGGCAAGCGCGAAGATGCCCCGGACGGTCGCACCGTCGTAGCGGCACTGGAAGTCCAGGAAGCTTTGCAACTCCGAGCCCGTGAACTGGAGGATTTCGATGTAGGACAACAGCGGGTCCCCTCGGCTCACATCTTCGCAGCTGCGTTGCAAAATGCCCCTGCAAAAACACGCTTAGGCTTGCCAGGCCGAGCCGCGATCCGTGTTCAGCTCCTCAGAGGCGGGGACGTCATCCGTGACATTGTACGCGACCACTTCCTGCAAGACCTCCGCTCTATCGGGGCCACACCAAAAAAGCGCGAAGGATTTCGCAACAAACCCCCTCAACCCCAAAATCCTTAACCCCTACACCTTGCCTGAATCAACCCTCCTAGCTCCGGGACCCTCCCTAAACCCTAAACCCTAGACCCTAAACGCAGCTCAGGCGCTTCCTGTGCCTCCCTGGCGCTCGTCAGGCGCCTCGGGAAAACAAGCTCCGCGCAAGCGGATGGCAGCAGTGAACCCGGAGCTGTGCCCCCACACTGCAACTTGCATCATACGTTTTGATACATACAGGATATGTACATACCTACGGATGCATGACATTGCGAGAGGGAGAGTATAGGAGCGAGAGAGAGACATTGACCCAGCTGGCCGAGGCGCGCCAGCAGAGCCCAGAGCTGCGCGAGCTGCAGCAGCACCGCCCCTTGAGACACCAGGAGCTGCGCCGCGCACTCCATTCCCAGACCAGGCTTGGGGATGTAGCTCCTGGCTTTCTGTTAGCTTTTGGAGGCTTGGGGATGGGTTTTAGTCTGGGGGCTGTTGGGGCTTTATTAGAGTTTTACGAATGTTTGTTGAAGGCTTTCTGAAGCCTGGCTACGATGCGCCTCAGGAGGCAGCCTGCGGCAAGGAAGGCGCCCATCAGCGCCAGAGTTCCCAGGGAGACCACGAAGACCAAGACCACCGACTGCCTCGAGAATCGCAAGGAATACCCGATAAAATGAAGACGGCTTGACTTGCAACTAACTATACCATCCTCAAGCAATAACTCACATACACTAAACCCCTCTTTCTCTGCAGTACCAGTAATTACGGTGCCCTATTTGATCCTCGAGGTGCTGGCGCAGGCTCTGGCATTCGTCGCACTGCTTGCCGAAGTTGAACGAGTGGTAGTTAGGAGCGCACTCCACACACAGGGGCCCGGAGTATCCTTGAGACATGGCTTTCCGAAGGCATGCAGGTAGGCAGTCGGGGTCATGATCACCTACATGACAAACGCGCTACCGACACCATTAGCCTGCACATGGCTGCCGCAACTCTCCAGGAACATGATCCTTCGTAATTCTCTAAGCACACGGCATGGGAGCCAATGATCCGCAATGATCCGCAAGTTGAATCTCGACGTGCACGATAAGATGTTAGGAGCACCCTAAACTCCAAACCAAAAGCCGAAGACAAGGATCCAGCGGTGCAGCCCGAATCCGTGAAGCGCGTGCAACGCTCTGCCTCTAAGCAGCGGAAGACCTGCGCGCACCGACAAGGCTTGGGTCATATGGAGCTTTGGGTTTAGACTTTTGGGTCTAGGGTTTAGGGTTTAGAGTTTTGGGTTTAGGGTTTACTGCATCCTAATTGGCATCCCACCTGAGGAGAGCCGGAGATGCGGGCATAGCCCTGCTCCACCGGAGCGTGTTCTGCTTTGCTCCCGTGCTCAGGACAGTGGATGTGGAGTTTGCTGCATGGCGCACAGAGGCCACCAAGCTGCGCCATGTGCGCCTGTGTTCTTGTTGAGGAATCTAGCCAGGAAGCCCGACTATTTAGTGTAGATCCCCATCGTGGCAACTTCAACTGAGTCCCTTAACAAGAGCCCAGGCGCCCCACACTGGCAGCTCCGGTTCCCCTTCTCGCCCCGAGGCTTGCCATAGCTACAGTCGCACGCCGTCAGCGCCGCAGAGCCATTGGCTGAAGTGCTGTTGGCTGGGCACGCCTCGCACTCCGGCTGGTCTTCGTCATCTGCGAAGCTGTCGGCAGGGCAGGCCTCTCCCACATGGCGGGACCCCGATAAGGCACAATGAATAGAGGAATATCCCCTTACAGTCCTTACATAGTTGTTATAGTAGAAGATAGTAGAATATAGTACAATATAGTATACTATAGTATAATATAGTATAATCTACCCCGAAACTCTGTGCTATCATTAAGGCCCCCATCTTTCGCAGCTTCGGGCGCCTGGCATGCGGCACCCTTCCCGAAGTGCCCGGGCTGGCACTTGCACATGAACCTCGAGCACGAAAGGAACCCTAAAAGTGGATTCCTTTCGAGGGGTTCTGTAAGGGTTCCTCTCAGGTTATTATCTAGGGTTTAACGACGACAAGAACTCTAAAAGGATTCAAACTTCAGAAACCATGTAGGGATTCATTGTAGAAGGGTATCCCTAAACCCTAAAGCCTGTCATTTGGTCCCCAAGGTACTCGGGCAAGAAGAGCTCCGGGGTGACGTGCAGCTCGGGGAGCCCGAAGTGGGCGCAGGCGTAGCCCTCGGGGTGCAGGGTTCGCCTGGCGTGCTCACCACAACCATCGGGTTTGTAGAGGTCTGGAGTTTAGGGCGTCCAATGCAAAGAGGCCATGAGTCCAGTAACTTAAACTCTACACCCTCCGCCCTAAATCCTATCCGGTCATGGGAGTACTTGGAGGCCCTTTTGACTTAGTAAGTCTACTTAGTATCCCCCAGGAGCCCTATTATAATCCCCATAANNAAGTCAAAAGGGCCTCCAAGTAGGAGTAGGCCTTAGCCTCTTTTGAGCCGGGTCGCCTGGAGTCCTGCAAGGGCAGCTTCTCCTTGAGACCCCGCGCCTCCTCTTGGACCACCTCCGGGTTCTGCAGGCTCGTGTTCTCCAGGTGCACCTCCGTGTGGTTCAGCACCACCTGCAACTGCGATTGCTAGATTCAGATGTTGCATACAGCCTCCCATGCAATGTATGAAACAGGGTTGGCAGGAGCCTGGCTCAGCACGCCGTGGCCAAGCTTCACGGGCCCTTCATTGTTGCTGAGATGCAAGCGCTCTACGCTTGCGCCAAGGCGTGGAATGGCGCTGAGCTGATTTCCGGCAAGGTCCAGGTCTTGCAGGCTTGTCTCCAGACGGGTGCCCCAGCTATCGCTTGGCAGCTCACCACGGAGGCCGCTCCTGGCAGCCGCCAGGCTCTTCAAGGGCGTGGCCGCGAGGGGAACCAAGAGCTCTGCGACGGTGCCATTTAGCGGGCAGCCGCTCACCTCAACCAAAACAGGAAACGGGCGACAGACAGAGCCTCGTGTCATGTGGATCAGAACCGGCAAAAACGGCAAGGGACTGAGCTGCAGGCGTTCAGGCGCTCGAGTGAGGGCAGGAGCTGGGGGGGCACCTGCTCCTTTCCCAAAGGCCGTAGGCCGCCGACTTGGCTGTCCTGAGAACGAGAGCCCCAAAGCCTCGAGCATTGAGGACAGAGCTACAAAGCTGAGACCCGCACGGCGAGCTCCAGCTCGCGCAGGTCTTTGCAGCTCTGTAGGTCGGAAAGCCAGCCGGTCAGCCGGGTCCCGGACAACAACGCAGTTTCCAGCCGTCTTTGCTTTCCGAGGGCTGCCAGCGTGCCGCCGATGGCTGTGGCAGTCAGATCCAAAAAATGCAATTGGCCAAACCAACCTCCGCCTGCCACCAGATCCTGGGTTTTGCTAAGGAACTTAATTTAAGTTATCATAATGGGGCTGTTGTTCAAGAATCTACTGGAAGTTACCATAATAAGGAAACCATGATATGTACTGTAGATCCCTATATATGGCGACTTAAACTACGCTCCTCAACAAGATCCAGGATCATCCACAGCACCCGAGACTGCCGTCTGGCGGAGGTTAAGAGTCCGGAGCCCGGTTAGCCTGACTACGACCTTGACGTTGCCTGAGACTCTGGTCTCGCGGAGATCCAATGTTTTCAGCATGGTCATCTTGCTCAGGTGACTGAGCTTGCCCGAGACGTTCGTCTCAGCCAGCTCCAGAAACCTCATTTTCGTATATTCCCCCAGGCTTTCCAGGCCACCGTGGACTTTTTTGACTCCGGCCAGCAACAGCTCTTCGAGCCCGTGGTGCCGCCACAGCACGGCCAGGTCGCCGGAGACGGCCGTCCTGCTGAGGTCCAAGCGCCGGAGTTGGGTCAGATTCCGGACATCCTCCAAGTCTCCCGAGACTTTGGTGTCACGGAGATACAGCGTCCTAAGCACGGTCAGATTTCGCAAAGGAACGAGTGGGCCCGACACCCCCGTCTTGTCCAGATCTAGCCACTGCAATCCAGTCAACTCTGCCAGCGGCTCCAAGTCTCCAGACACGTCGGTGTCTGAGAGGGACAACTCTCGGAGTTCTTTCAACTTCTTCACTGCCGAGAGGTCCCCGCTGATTTGGCTCTTATCCAAGTCCACCGTGTGGAGCGCAGCGTGGCCTCGCAAGGGGCCGAGCTCGCCCGCGACCTGCGTGTGTGCTAAATCCAGAGACTCCATCTTCTCCTTGCCCTCGAGGAAATTGAGGCTGCCGGAAATGTGCGTCTCACTCAGGTCCACCTCCCGGAGGCGGCTCATACTTTCCAAGGCATCGAGCTTCCCATCGACCAGGCTGCGATGCAAGATCAGGATCTCGAGATCCGTCGCACCCTTCAAGGCTTCGAGGTCGCCCGAGAGCTGTGGAAGAGGCAGAACCAGGCGCTCTAGGCTCTTCAGGTGCCTCAAATCCTCGAGGCTTCCTTCGACCTTTGTGTGACTGAGGTCCAACAGCCTCAAGCTCTCCATCTTTGACAGGTTGGCCAGATGGCCGGTAATGTTTGCTTCCTTTGAGGAAACGGATAGGTCGAGCCGTTGAAGCTGCCGCAGGGATGCCACGGCCTCCAAGTCGCCCTCCGCATCGTCGCGAGTGATCTCTACCACGCAGCTGTTGTCATCACAGCGGATTCCCGGCCAGTTACACAAACCACCCTCTCCGCTGATGTGCAGCTTCTTGAGGGCCTCAAGCTCTCCAGTGCCTCGGTTCCGTGCGGAAAGCCTCCTACCACAGCACAGCCGCCCGCAGCCTTCAAAACAGAGAGCTGCTTGTGCAGAGCCAGGCACAGGTCGGGGATTCAGTGGTCTCCGTCTCGGCCACGCTGCTGGATCTGGCCTCCAAGCGGAAAACTCTTCACTCTGAAGCTTGGACTTCTACGCGCTCCGGGAGTAGATCTGACCTGGACCCGTAGCATCTACGGGCCCGGGTCAGATCTACGACAGACTCTCGGCTTCCAGATAGAATCAAGCATCCAAGCCATGAGCAACAAGCACGACACTCCGGAGGATCTTCTTTCCTGAGGTGCACAGTACCAGGCCCCCCGACGGGCAGTGGCTCGGAAGACACGGCGGGCTGCTCCTCAGAATCGTTTGTCTGTTGTTTGCCTTCCTGCGTCGACACACAGTAGACGTGGACAAACAGCCGTTTGAAAGCTCAGCATGAAAGCTATAGTTTTTGGCAACTACGAGGGATTCAGCATGACGACTACATGCCAGTTCTCGCCCCTTTACAGCTGCTCCGACTCGTAAGAATGTCAAGTACTTGGGTTTAGGAGCCGGAAACTTCGCACTCGAGCGCTTGGGCTTGACAACCGTCGCTTCTCCGCTCCCGGGCCGAATCCTTGGGAACAAGCTGGCACTCTGAGTGTTCAGGGACTCCCCCAGTAGACGAGGGCGGGGAGGCGCAGGGGGGTTCCGAACCAGGTAACCAAGGCTTGGCCAAGCCTCGTTCCTTCAAAAACCCAGACCCAGGAAGGGGACCTCTCGGTACTCAAGGGTTAAAGGGAATCTGTGAGATGATTCAACTACCTCTTTAAGGGTATATGTCGGAAGAACGGTATATTTCGGAAGAACAACCCACCCTAAACCTCAAACCTCCCTGAACCCTAAACCCTTGGGCTCCTTTGGCTGCACATGGCGAAAGGTACCAGGCTTGGACGGCGCAGCAGGCTCCTCCTGAGAGTCGTGGGTCTCTGGGGTTTACGCTTTCGGGTTTGGGGGCTGCTCTTCCTTCTTGAGCTGGTCATGTACAATCTAAGTACATATGAGCCTTTAAGCAACACAGCAGAGCAGCGGAATCTAGTCGCATCGCGCCTCAGTTCAAAGCAACTCTCAAGTGGGTTCCTTTTAGGGCTTCTTCAAGGGCTTCCTGAAGGATTCTGTGACGTGGGTCCTGTGGACCACCTAGGTGGACAAATAGGCGTAGGGGCCTCTTCAATATGTCGGTTCCGAGGTCCGTCTCGCAAAGTGGGTTTAGAGTCTAGCCGTTCAGGGCCTTGGGTGTGGCTTCGGGCGTATGATTGCAGGCTTGAGGTTTCGGGTTCGGGGTTCAGGGTTTGGGATTTCGGGGAATGCTGGAGCCTCGGCGGGCAGGCGCAGATGCTCGGACTTCGGGATTTCGATGTCCTCGGTCCACATGCAGGTCCCCACGCACCACGATCCTGAACCCCAAACCCTACACGGACTGAACACAGACCCCGAACCCTACGCCCCCCCACGAGCACCGCAGTCGGGCAGTCGCTTGCCTAAATCCTGCGATTATGCTCGCAGACCTGGGCCTCGGGCAGAAGGGGCCAAGGCAAACGTCCGCCCGTCCGCTTGGTGTATGCGTCGGCTTGCGTCCTGAGCTGTTAGAGTTTTGGGATTTGAGCAGGGCGAGATCCCAGGCGCCAGAAGGGACGGATGCAAGCAAGAAACGCCTGCACTCGGCGCGAGCTCCGCGAAGATCTCAGGGCGCACGCAGAAGCTCGGGCCCAAGGCCAGGACCAGGCACACCACGGAGAGCCATGAGATGCGAGATATGGAAGGAAGGACTGAACAAACTGCGGATGCCATGAGCCTGAGCCCAGGCCTCGGAGAAGCACAAGAAACCATGCGACATCCGGTAACCGTGCGAGTGCCCGAGCTCACTTATTGATTGAATTTACGCCGGGCAAATAGGTCCGAAACTTCTCAAACCAGGAATCTCGGAACACCACACTTAAAGCTCCACACAACTCTATGCACACCCTAAGCACCTAAGCTCCCTCCGCACACTCCGAAACCCTAAACACTAAACCATAAACCCAAAACCCCCAAACTCTAGTTTAGGGTTTAGGGTTTAGGGCTTAGGGTTTAAATCCTAAACCCTGAACCTCATACCCTCAGACCCTAAATCCTGAACTCTGCCTGAAGACATCATCCCTCGGGGGTGACCGTCACGAACCCCTCGGTCAGCGGCCTCCGCTCAGGATTACTGCGGGGGCCTTAACACGCTCAGAATACTTGGAGGATCATGGGACTTGGTAAGCAAGCTTATAACTACCTTAATTGGGGGGTATAATTACTTATAAGTATAGTTACCTTATTTATAACCCCAGTTACTAAGTCCCATGATCCTCCAAGTAGGGTTTTGGGCTCCTATATAGTATGAATTATAATCCCTTAAACCCGAAACTCTAAACCCTACACCCTAACCGTGATATTGGTAATTATTTTGGCGGCCTGGATAGCATTCTTAGAATCAGGAACCCTCACAGTCATATTGGTAATTCCCCCGAGAACCCAATACCCCTTAATTTCAGGAATATACCTTAAGTCATAATATTGAGGCCCTATAATTTAAGGAATCATAATGCTAAGGCAGGCCCCTATAATTTAAGGTCTGTTCCTTCATTAAGGGGTATTGGGCTCTCTGGGTAATTCGGTAACACCCTAAACCCTAAACCGTACACCCTAAACCCTAAACCCTAAACCGTACACCCTAAACCCTAAACCCTAAACCCTAAACCCTAACCAGTCATGTTGGTAATTCCTTGGGCTTCGATGTTAAGATCCTTTCGAGCTTCCAAAGCCCAGGGGAGGGCCCGGAGTGCGGTGGAACCTTGGGGCATTTTGGGGGCCTTGGGTCAAAATGTTTAGGGTTTTAGGGTTTAGG